CAGGTGGGTAAATTTGGGCATGCAGGCTTTCCATTCTGTAAAAGTCCTATTTATTTTCTGCAGTGTTAGGTAAATGCTAGTTGGAGCACCTCCACGGCTTGATTGAATCTTCGGTAAACAAGACTAAGAGTCTAGCCATGCTAGAAGCCTTGTAAGGCTGTGCTAAGGCCCAGCAGTGCTTTGACCTAAATGCTCATGCTCGCATGGAAACACAATAACAAGCACAAGCAAACACATTAATGTTCAGCAGGAACAACTATCTTAATCATCATGTTCAACCATCAACCATCATGCCCTCGTAGCTCAATTGGTGCGCTGTGGCCCCAATGTACCAAGGCTGAGTCCTTGCTGCAGTGGCCGTGGGTTTAAGTCCAAACTGTGGCCCTATTATCCACAAGACTCACATTACTTGTTTCTATGTTGAGGATGTAGGAAAAAGCTTTAAGTAATTAAAATAGATACTGGAACTAGTGGCTTTTCCTGCTTCACAACTTTATAACACATGAAATATCTAGTGATTCTCCACAGTCACCAATCACCAGCAATCAATTTAAATAATGAAAGTTATATGTTTATATATCTAACCAGCTCTCATTCTGCTGTGCTGCTACACACTGCTTTTACTAGCTGTTGATTTATATCTACTCCTCTACCTTATTATTACCATACTTGGCAGTGGCATCTTTTACCTTATGTGTATTCCATAACTCAGAGATAAATGTCTGTCTGGTTCTGAACGGCCCTTGAAGGGGTTTATTGCGCTCCCTGCTGAAAAACACCCTCAGGAGCTGAGTCTGTTCAGCCAACTAAATGTGTATCACTATTTGTTGCAATGAAATGGTGCTATAGACTCTGACATAAATGTCTGTGACAGAACATTTAATATACTATCATATTCTTTCTAAGGATGTGATTTGTCTTGAAACAGGTGAAAAATCCCTACAGTGGGTAAGGTAACTCCATTTGTGTCCACTGAAGGAAATGCAAGTGTCAGTATGTTGAAAGTAGATTAAATAAGGCCGGTATCAAGACAAATATGGAACTTGATTCAATTTAGTTGATTTGTTTGAGAAAGATGTAAAGTTGTCACATTATCTGGTTTTCCCTTACATATAGAAAAATACAATTACATTCAGTGGTTGTCAAGTGTTACCCATATTGTATACATGTTGTCCTCAATTAAACGCTTTTTGCCACACTTGACACGTTTTACTGCAAGTCAGGCAGCATTACCATGCGAATATCTATAGTCGTTCTTTGGTGCTTCATAAACCTTCCTCTCCTCATTCTTAGCTTTTTGCCCCCTGGCAGTGCTCCACAGCCACGTGTCGTAATAAGGCCAGATCACGAGCAGCAAGTCCCTGTAATATTGGATCCACCTTCTGTCTCGGACAGATGCCAGAATGGTGTCATCCATCCAGCACCGATCTTTCTTCTGTGCACAGTTACCAAAAAGTGTGTTTAATTGCCTCGAAAATGGACGTCTCCACCCCTGCAATAAGGGTATCAGAGCCATTAGAAAGACTAATGGGCCTGGTAATGATGTTAATCAGATAGACCGTGATTGAAATTCCATTGCATATGTGCATGCACATGCAAACCGCTGTACGACCGTGCACAGAGGTGTCCCCAAATGCACAAATGGGATTAACCCAAAACACTATTAGTGATGTTTCCTTCCACACAACCAAAAATCTCATCACCCCTGCATCAGCGACAGAAACAGTATATCTCCATTATTGTTCATCTCTCAGCTGAGGCCAGAGAGGGAGCTGTGCCTGCTGCCGTTCACTTCAAGGACTGAGTAACAGCAGTTGATGGAAATGTGCATTTCTGGACATAATTCAGGCTACATTTGGATGGAAATCTGACTAATATGTTTAATATGTAAAATATACTTCCTCTTTGTTGAGGGGTGCCAGAGAGGTGATAATTAACATTTATACAAAGTTTCTAGTTTCTAGTTAAGATTGTATATGTGATTGTAATGTTCTTGTTGCTATTTCTTGGACTACCTTAAAGTATGTCCGGTTTTTGTCTACTGTTTTCTTTCTCTGTATTAACTTCTTCTGTGTCTGATTTTTGATTAACCTCTTACTCAGGTCTAAGCCATGACAACACCTGGATTGGGTTAAATGATCGTACAGTGGAGGACGACTTTCAGTGGACAGACAAGATGGACCTGGTGAGTAACCAGCTGTGTCTGTTTTGTCTCTTAGTCAGCTGTCGAGCCCAGTGGAGTTTCTAGAGAAACTGTGTACATTTGCCCAGTATCACAGCTGGAAACAGCTTGAACAGCAGTTTCAATTTGTTTTCCATTGTAGTCCCAATATTCCCTGACTTTTTTCTGTGTCGTTTTTAGCTTTACTGATAATGACAGCATATTTTCAGAATGTACTTATAAATACACAGGTTGCCATCAAGAGTTGTATTCTCATTTTTCATCATTACTGTATATACAACAGATAAACATCACAACATTAAAAGGAAAAAAGAAAACATAAAATTAGGGAAGAAAAAAAATAGACGTGTGATCAGTGATTAGCGTATGATGTCAAGAAAATTATGTTAAATTGGAGTTCAAAAAGAGGCTTGTCTGTTTTTTGTCTCTGTTCAGCAATATGAGAACTGGCGTGAAAACCAGCCAGACAACTTCTTTGCTGGAGGAGAGGACTGCGTGGTTATGATTGCTCATGAGAACGGCAAATGGAATGACGTGCCCTGCAACTACAATCTGCCCTACGTCTGCAAGAAAGGAACAGGTGAGAACAACGAGGTGGATGGAGGGAGAGCAGAGGAGAGGTGAGCAGAGGAGAGAGTGGCATGGAGTATGCTGCAACTTCAACAGGTGATTAAGATGACTGACAGAGAGGTAAGGAGGCAGAGAGCAGCAGGATGTAACAGAGGAAGACTGAAAAAGAGAAAGAGGCTGCGAGGAGTGAGAGAGGTCGGATTTAAAGAGCCGAGACAGCGAAGAATCGGACAGAAGCAGGCAGAGTGAGACTGATCCTGTGGAGAAAAAAAAGAGATAGGAAGTGGGAATAAGTGACGAAATGTTTTTAAAACTGTTTTTAATGCAAAGCAGCTCACAAGTGTTGCAGCCTATTTCTGGTAAACCACAGAGAATGACAGCATGTACCTTCAGGGGATTCTGAACATGGGCATATCATACTTTACATTATACACGTCTCTGTGCAGAGCAAGAGATTAGCACTGAACCTCTTCACTTAGTCCACGTACTTCACATTCACACTCATTACCGCTCACCAGCGCTCCTTCCATTTCTCATCATCCTCCGGCTTGACTTTTAAAAGTTCTCGGCGTACTTTCATATCACAGCTCCATTCCCTTTGCCAAATGTTCTGTTCTAGGAAAGTGAAGTACGTCTTGAGGCAGAAAGTACTTTCTGCTTTATGTCCAGGAAAATTAAACTCATCAAATTGAGGTGAGCAAACTTATTGGTTGGTTAAGTTCTTATATACGCCGCCGTCACCGCTGTTTGTCCCCTGTTGCAGCTGCCCCTTCTTAGCGCTGGAGTTAGGCCACCACATGCTCCTCTGAGAGCCTATTACAGCTTATTTTTGCCACACATTTGCATACAGGTCAGACTCATGACCGGTGGCAAGAAGACAGACGTATTAATAGCTAGAGACACAAGAAGCCACTGGTGGTTGTATTCCCATAACTTCCTCCGCAGCTTTGAATAGGACAAGCTTCTTCTTTTAGCTGTATATCTGGGCAAGTATTTATCAAGCTGCTAAAAGTAACATTTTGGAAGGATAAAAGTAATAATCCTGCACTTATATATCACAGATCTAAAATCCTTTTTTGAAGTGATGGAACAAAATATTTCCTATGATGAATGTTAGCTGAAGCAATATATGTAGTTCAGAATATGATTTAATGAGTTTCAGCCCACTATTTGCATTATATTTGTATATTTGATATTATGTTTTATTTAAATTACATTTATCAGGGGATTTGAAAAACAGGAAACATTGGCATTTATTTTATTGTCTTTTTCATCCATATTGTCAGTGTGGTACTTATCATGACATTTTTCTGATGTCTATCATCAGTCGAATTCCCTCCCAGCTTCCACTTTATTTTGTTTCCATTTCAGCCAATTTCACATCATTTCATCCTTATTTATATATTTACAAATCATAAATACATTGCATGTTTATTTCATCTGTTAATTGCTATGAGAAAAAAAACAGCATTCAATTATATATGCTTCAGCAGAGCAACATCACTGACAAAGTGGAAAGGAAAAAAGGGTAAATAAACGTACACGACATATGATCACCAGAGAGCTGCTCTTTTTACTAATTCGAAGGAACATTACTGGCATGGGAAACAGATGTTTACATTGCCAAAGCATGTGCAAATTATATGTATATACAGATTAGTAAAAAATATATATAATAACTAGTAGTTAAAAAACACAAATAAAAACATATTTTTTTGTGTGTGTACTCCTGCTCCTAGATGTAAAGTTGCTTGATACATGTCATATGTACATGTCATACTCTTCACTTTTATACATTATGTTTTTTTAAGCATTCTAAATAATTCTTACTTTTATACGATAAGTTTGGGATTATGCCAACAATGCCACCTTGATCTGGACATAGATGATGGGAGATGAAGGTATCAGTCAGCTTTTAAATCTTCAGGTAGGTTTAAAATATTTGGGAGGTATTTGAAGCATTCATTACAGACAGTAAAGCGAAATAAAGTGATTCATGGTCGGCTTCTTAACCCTTAAGCTATGGGTGTGTTAGCTATACTCTTGCGTAGAACTAAATAAAATACTTCCCCTTATCATCCCGCTTCATCATGTATTATTGCCTTAACATAAAAGCCTTGAAGGCCTTGTGCTTTAACAGATGGTTTGTCATCAGAGGCCACAAGCATAGAGAACATAACTCTAATGCCTTCAGGCAACAAGCACGTCTCCTGAACCAGCCAGCACTATTCTTGTATTAAAGGAAAGGTATTTCCCTCACAAGTAAGGTGTTGCACCACCTCTGATGCACACTGTCACAAGTCCCCAGCATCCAGCCCACCTCTGACCTTAATCAGTCAGTTACAATCACTAGCATCTTTTCATCTCCCCCCCTCTCCTCCCGTCAGCCTCTTTTTCACTTTGAGTAACCCCATGTAATGTCTTGTCTTATCAGTTTGTCAGATCCATGCTGAGTATTCTCCGCCTGATTTCGAATGCTCTCAGCTCATATGATCTGTTTGTCTGCTCATCAGCGTCCCCTGGGTCTAATTAGGCAATAACGTCATCATGTGAGCATATCGGACACCTTAATCAGTCACCCAGGGCCCAGTCGGGACGATGTGTCATGTAGATGGTGTTGATATTATTTTAATTTAACTGAAAAGAGGTGATGAAACTGATGAAATGATGGTCAGATCTCTGGGTTAAAGACAGCCAGACTCGTATAACACACTCACACAAGCCTCCGATCCTTAAATACACATATATTGAAGCTGATTTGGCCCTGCTTCTTATCTCTTACATATTTTTTTTAAATTGTCAAAAATCTTTGCCCTGAGCCATTTAGCCTGCTGAGTATCTGTTGTTAGAAAGAAATCTAAACTGACTCCTCCAACTGATGCACTGTGTTGGTGTAGTTTTATCTTTACAAATGTTTTTAGATCATAAAAACATAATGTGAGGTCTACTGTAGGCCATTCAAAATTCAGAATTTTCCTAAGTAAGAATATATATAAGTGACTTTTGCCCTTTTATATTGATGAGTGATATTTTACCGTAGGCCCTTCAACATTCAGAAGCAGTATTTGATTGCTGGATCAATACTGTCTAAAGGAGGATAAAGAAAAAAATAGATTGAAGAGTAGCATACATCATTACATTTACATTTGGATTATAGTGACAAGTGAGTCACGCAGTATTCTGCCTCTGAGCTCTTCTAGCAAGGATGAGAGGGAATTTACCCACAACAGGACATGTAAGTATTATGAAATTATTCCATTATTTTTGATGGGTTATTATGTACAGAAGGCAGGAAATCTAATTTTGCATGACATACTCTGCGCGCTTACAGAGTGCTTTGGGAAATGATAGGCTGTTGTCAGTGCCTTTAGCAGTTGTGTCCAATGGCGTCTAATGTAGTCACTGTTGGATACACATTGTGTAGAGTAAAACTGTCATTGCTGGAATGCATTTTGAAAGTAAGGCGAAAAACTATTTATAATTTATATTTATGTGATTTACCCACCCAGCTACTGTGCATGTTTGCAGTTGTGTCTGCGTCTGTTCAGTTTTTTAGTGTAGTGAACAATCCCCTCAAACAGTTGACATAAGTTCAGAAGGCAGGTTCACCTGGGTGTGAAGAAGCCACAGGAGAAGGAAGTAAAATATGTGTGTTTGTGCTGAAAAAGTACACACTACCCCTCATGTAGAATTCTTATACATATATATATCCAATATAAGAAGAGTTCTTATGTTGATTTGTGTTTAGTGCTGAAGATTAATCTGTCCAGTCACAAACAGAAAAGAGAAAATGAAGATCCTCTTCACCAACCCCATGTGAGCAGCTACAGAACTCCCCACAGGACCCTGTATTATGATTTTGTAGACATAGCTGCCACAGATGGTTACATCCTCGACAGGGAGGTTTGTGCAGTGGCAGAGATGCTTTTTTTCTTGCTGACAGATAGATGAGACGTGATATCACTCTTATGTCTGTGCGTTAAGTACGGAGCTGTAGTTAGCGTAGCTTAGCACAAATATTGAAATCAGGCAGAAACCGCTTCCCTGGCTCTGTCCAAAGTTCAAACATCCAGCTAGCAGCACCTCTAAAGCTCACTAATTAACTTATTATGTCGCACTAACCATAAAACATCGATAAAATACCACGCTGTTGAGCCACTTTAAATCACCACAAGGGAAATTCCTTCACTGTGGTAGCCCTAGAGTAGAATGTTGTGCGTGCTGGCTCGGTGGCATGGCTTACTGACACTCTCAATTGGAAGTGTTAATCTTACTGGTGACACGTGTACTTTTCTTGTCATTACAATTTAAAATCTTCGCTGTGAAAGAGACCTGCTGGTTCTGATTCAAATAAAGTTAGAAGAAATCCTGCTGTACTTCTAACTTTTTTCTTTCTCTTTATTCACTGCCTAATGCCTATATTTTTGGGCTCAAAACTCAATACTCAATAACCATTTTCTCCCAGGTAGTCTGGGCTGTCAGCAAACATTCACACAAACAACTGCTGCAGTTTGTTATTTAATGAACAGAACTGAATTTATCCCCATCTACTGTCCTCGTGAGACTCCCAGTAGTGCTTCAGAGAGAATGCACACGCACTTTCAAGTCTCTCTGATTCCTTCTAACAGGATTGGCAGTAGGTGTGCGGATGCTTTGAGGCCATGGAGGAGTGTTGAGAGGAACCAGCATCTAACTGTCTGCAGCTCTCCCCATGCCATTAACTCACACTGACTACCCCCTGCCACACAGAAACAGGCACGCAGTGACAGAAAATACCTCAAGAAACATGCTGCTTTTAAGTGTATGAATAAATAGCTTCTTCTTAGCTTCTAATGTTGGCTAAAAACATACCTTAAATCAGCTGCAGGAAATTATAACACCTGCCATCTGTGAGCTTTACATTCTTTGTTCTATTTTTTTTGTTTTCCATCTCTTCACAGACACTTGTGTATTTTTTTACCTTCTCCCCTTGTTATGGTCCAGACACTTTTAAAGAGTGTTTTTCGCTCCTCCCTGTCTAAGCTCCAGCTGTATCTATCCAAGTAACTGTGGATGAATGTTCTTAAAGCTATATTAATTTGTTCACGGTAACTTTGGGGCTGCAGGACAAGATGTAGGATTTATTTTTTCCTTATTAAACGTCCAGGGTTATTATTATTATTACATTTAAGAAGATATAATTGCAGAAATTGAATATAATATTCATAGGTAAGTGTTTAGTCACCTGAATATAGGAATTGTTGTATTTTCATTAGAATGAGCCATTTCTTCTCTACAGAGGGATCAGGTCCTCTGGTCCAATATTCACTCTCTTCTAGCTCTGTTTGTGGTCTCCACCAACTCCTAAGGGGCTGTAAAACCAAAGCAATGAGCTGAAAGATGCTAAAATGCTCTGTAGAGCTAACTGCAGAGTTGAGTGATAGTTCTTAGTTCTGATAGTTCTGGGTTTCCTTTCACATTACATATATATTTTCTGAATCAGCTAACGTTGTGGTCTGTTTAAACAAATGAGAGTGTTGCGGGTTCCCTCTCATACTTAGAACAATTTTTCTAAACTAGACACAGCAATGTACAGTGTGTTTTGAACATGTAAACATATTTTAGCAGACCCCCCATATGAAAGTATGAACCTGAAAAAGAGCATAATATGGCCTCTCGAAATTATATCATTACTCTGTTGTTAAAATGGCATTTCATTCGGTGAAGAGTGCATTATGAATTGTTCAGAACTCGAAACTCGAAGTTCAGGACTTTTACAATTACTTGTTCCTGCCTCTGGTATCTTGTAAGCAAAGTGATTTGCCTTATATCCGACAATGTGTGTGACTCATCTGCTATCAGACACACAGAAGTGGTTGAGTAGTGGTTACACGTTTAGTCTTAAACAATCAGTGGTTTACCCAGAAAAATAAATCCACACTTGTATTTTAACAATTTTGACTCACTGCTTAAAGGAATGAGAAGCAGCAAGCAAAAAGTACATTTTTATGGGCCTTTTCTCAGAAGTCTAGTTCCTCTCTCGGTAGCAGCCCTATTCGTCCTTCAGGCTTTATTCTACAAAAGACCTTTTCTCACTTAAAGCTCCATTTGCTTTTTCTGAGTTTAGTGACATTTTCTTTTATCCCTACTTCAGTACATTCTGACTTTGCTGGCCCCCACTGTGAGAAATCATTCAACAGTGAACATAGGTGAAGGCTAATGGAAAACTACCTTTTAGCCTTCCATTTGTGTTGAGTCAGTGATTGTCTCAAGTGAGGAGTGCTTATTCCTTCCACAACACATTAAACTGTAAATGTGGCATTAAACCTTTCATCAGACTTAATGTCATTGCTTTCCCTTATTAAGAATTTAAGAGGTATTAGGACAAGGACATGGGAATTAAGAGGGATTGTAAACATTTTCTGATGGCTGATTAAGTCCTCTTATGACCAGTGTGTTTATCACATTAGGTGGAACCAGTGGTGGTTTCTGGTGTTTGCAAAATAGGTACCTTGGATAGGGGCAGCATGGAAGTTCTTTACATCTCAAACAGGTTTCCACAACCCTATCCCTTCAGACTATTAGCCATTAGTGATGGTAATGGCACTGTGTAATCATTTCGCCATCATAACAGCAAAATCAAAATAAAAAGAATGTGATTTTTATTTGGACATCATAACTGTTAAAATCAAGATGATACACATTTAGTGAATAGTTGGGCAAGATATGAGTACTTAAGTTAGGTAGTTTGATTACCTATTTGTTATATATAACAAACAGAGCACCCAATTGTGTTGCTGCTAATTACTTTGTTGCTATTTGTTTTCTCCACAAAAGGTTGTGATTAAAAAAAAGGACTAACACATAAATAAACACAGGGACTTTAACCCCATGGTGTAATAAATTAACAGTGCAGGGTCCTTCACAAACACAGATACAAGCACATACAGTACATTTATGCTGAGTTTTAATAGGTGAGCCAAAAACTGTTGAAACTGCACAAAGAGAGCACAGAACAATATTGCTACCCAATCTGAATAAATGAGTAATTACACTAGAGCATTGGTTCCTAAAATTGAGGTTGGACACCCATGGGAGAGAGCCATAGCATGACCAAAGGGAAAAAGCTGGAGTCGAATAAACCTTTTTCACAGCAGAAGTTTGACTAAAAAACACAGGTGTAACTAATAACTTGATTAACTGCTGCATTGCATTGCAAAAATCAGCAGACCAGGGCCATCGTTACCATTGTTAGTTCAACCTTTCCTGCTATATGACAAGTCAAAATGTCTGCTGTGAACAATGATACAAACAATAACAAAATGAGATGATGCTGATGCTAGCAAGATTCAGGTTCACATCATTTATTTAGAAAGCACAACAATGTAAAGTGAAGGATGGACAGACTTCAGAGGAGGAAGAAAGTAAAAACCGGGGATGCTCATCAAACAAACACATCAGTCAAATCCAAAATATAAAGAAGCTTATTTTTCTCTCCAATATGGCGGCAGACTTCTGTGTGTTAGGTGGAAGATTGTAGCAGTTTCAGCACTTTTCACTGCACAACAGAAACTAATGGGAAACATGCATGCGAAAACATGGCATTCACGTTCCTTGTTGGTGTTACTAGTTTTCCCAATAGACTAATTTTAGCGGTTGATAAAGATGACAGAGAAAGTATGGGAACCCCTGCACCAGAGATTACAAACCAAAGCTATTCAGTGTCACAGGCCGACTTCTCAGTTGAAATCTCCTTAGCAGTGCACTGAACTAGCAATAGAGCGTCTTCCACCACTCGCTGTTTGCTAATGGGTTCAGCAGCCAGGACCCGTAATGAGTAATAACAGCTTTTATTGTCCACCTAGCTTATTTTAAGTCAAAGATTATCACAGATGAACTGGCAATTTGTAGTTTTGACTCGAAACTGAAAACCTTTCCATGATTTTGTTGCACGTTATGTTGGAAGGCAGGAAGAGCTGGGGCTTCAGCTGCAGGACTGCCATCTAGGGACTCCTGGAGTTACTACACATTCACCTGCTGCCTCCACCGGGGGATACTGGCAAACCCTGACAGCCGAGTTATAAAATCTGTGAAGTTGTTTGAGTGCCTCCCTGAGGCTTGTCCATCCTGTCAGTCTCTGACCAGTGTGTCAGTCCTCTCTCCATCTCAGCTTGTGTAAACACTTTTCTGATTCTGCCTCTATTCTTTATGTGTCTAAAACGCAGTATTACTTTGACAGCCGCCCACTCACTTAGACTTGGACAGACACGCTGTCCCACAGACAATACATCCACATTTTGATGTTTTGTGCTGTGAGAGTTTTCCTGAGATGTGAGTGCCTAATTAACACCAGAAGTCAGAATAAACACTGAATGTAGAAACCATTAGGGACATTTAACTGTTTTCATCAAGCACACTGATAAGGTTAATCCAGATTAAAGTTTTTATCCTGTACGAATTTCCTTTACTTATCATACAAGAGGATATTAAAATAAACGGAAGTGGACACTCTGAGTAATATTCTCCTGCTCTCTCTTGCCCCTACAGTGCTTTGCGGAGCCCCACCCACTGTGGATAATGCCTTTCTGATTGGTCGGAAGCGTTCCCACTATGATATCCACTCTGTAGTGCGCTACCAGTGCGCCGACGGCTTCCTGCAGCGCCACGTGCCCACTGCTAAGTGTCGTGCCAACGGCAAGTGGGACCGGCCTAAAATCATCTGCATAAAATGTGAGTTTTACAGAACAGGGTTTTTTTTTTACAGAGTGGGGTGGCAGATCACAAGCCTTATAGCAGCCTTTCCATTTGTTTGGTCATTTTCACATTTTCTTACTTTCAGCATGCACACCACCATACGAACCTCTTATATTAACTGCCCTCGGGGGCTTCTGTCACCATGCGCATTCAGACTTGCCATCCCTGCTCTCATTATTAATAATTGCAAGCAAAAACATTACTATGGTTGCAGACTGAATTAAAATCCCCTGTGCTTACTTAGAAGTGGTAGGATCTCCTTTGAAGTCGTTTATGCTTGAGGTTGGATTCTTTTTTTCAGCCTCTTCAACTATTTTTTTGCAACTGGTTGACCGTTGACCGCTAAACACTAAAAATGTTCAACCAAAGTGAAATTTGACTTTTATACTCCATATCATACCATATCAAAGGGTTAAAGTATAAAACGTTAATATTCTAATTTGCCCATAGAGGCTTTTAGATGGAGTAAAATTATAATGTATTTTATTCATGGTTGAAGCTACCTCTTATTTTAGAGCAGTTTAGCACCTAAGATCAGTGATAACAGTCTTTTATTATGCAGCTTTCATACAACGTATCTCCTTTGAGCCTTAGAATAAACTTTATTTATTTGATTCATCTTAAAGGACTCACTCCGACTGACAGAATAGACAGAATGTCACAACTTTTCTGCATAATTTCTTGTTTCTTCAGAGGAAATATAAAGGGTTGATATATATAAATATTCAACAAACTGCGCCTTGTATTTCATTTCACTCGGTGACAGTAATGATGAAATGCTGAAATAATGTAGCCTCTGTTGAAAGTGATAAGAATTATTTTTCTTACGACTCTTTATCTTTAGACAGAGTTGTTTTTTATGGCCCAGAGTTACACTGTCGTTATCATTCATTGCAGGCGACATTTCTTTGTCGGCAGAATCCAGAAAGGGACAGAGCAACCTAATTTGGCAGTACACCCCAGGAACAAGCTTTTACTGAGGCTGTGAGTGGGTGGCTAGTTCAGTGTGCTTTTGCTAAAGGCGCCCAGTCGACTGAATGTGAGATATAACAAATTCCCTCAGTGCGGTGGAAACAGTTAAACCTTCTACAGAGAACATGTAGTTTTAACCTTCCTGCTCTTTGATCTCTTTTTCCCTCGCCTCTTACCTGGCTTCACCTCCCTCCGACTATCTGTCTGAATGTTTCAGATGCTTGTCAGTGATTCATCTCCCTCTTACATCAGTTTTCCCAATCTTGCTTTTCATCTTATACAATCTATGACTTACTTCTTTAATAAATTGTCTAACCTTTTCTCTCATTTCATCTTCTCGCTCTTCTCGCTCTGTTTGCTCTGTTTGCTCCACCAGCCCGACGAGCCCACCGTTACCGGCGCCACCACCACAAGGGCAGGAGGGAGCGCAGGAAGCACAAGAGGCACGGCCACAGAGAGGGGGGGCACCACGGAGGAGAGCTGGGCCAGGGCCACAACCACGGCCACTTCTGAACCAAAAAAAAAGGAAAAACCCATCCCCTTTCCTTTTCTCCTCTGCTGCCAACTGCAGTTTGCCTGTCTCCCTGTCGTCCCTTCCTCTCGTCCTGTTTCCCCAAACACTACTTCACACCTTACAGCCCAAAACTCTCTGCCCAAGCCCTCTTCCCCGCACCCACCGCCCTGCCCTTAGCTCCACCCCTGGCTCTCAGAGTCAGCCTGTATCATAGTCAACTGTGAGGCCTGCCAAAGTGCTGCCAGGCGTCACTGGGACAATAACAAAATCCCTTTGTACTCTTTTTACTTTCCTTTCTCTGTTTTACTTTCATGTCTTAAATTGTCTGTCACCTACAATACCCTCTTTACTCGGCCCAGTTACTCCCCCCTCCGAGCTCAACGATGACCTGAAACATGGGGCTACGCTGACCTGTTTTTGAAAAAAAAAATACCTTTGAGATCCACACCGAACATTCTTCGGAGAGAAGTGGTTTAGTACAAACTATAAATAGGGACGACATCGCTGAAAATGCCGTATCAAAATCAGACGAGTCAAGGAAGACATCCATGTTTGTTGACTTGAGCCTTTTGTCTGTTTAACACGTTATTTTTTACAAATATTAAGTGTTTATTTCTTGACTCTGCTGCTTTTGGTTTGCTCTTTGTAAGACATTGTGCTTGACTTAAAGCAAGTTATTCTGAAACAGATTTAATTGATTTACTTTGAATCAGAGGCAGTTGTAATTGAATTATTTGATTGTTAGCGTTGTATCTTCTTGTCAGTGTAAGACAGTTACTTTAGATCAGATGCTAAACCCCCAGAGGAAAATGGAAAACACACCGCATCTCAATTCAGTTTCATCACGTCACACATCAGTCACTCTTCAGATGTGTCGAACAATCTCAGACTGCTCGTGCTGTGTCAGACATCCACCCCTGTCGTTCTCGAGGGTTAATCTGAACCCTTAATGTCAGTTTTCTCATGATATGTGTCGCTGTAAGAATGTGCGCTGTGAATTAATGAAGGTGATGCAGCAGGGCGAAGTTCTTCTAACTCACCTGTTTCTGCTTTATTTTGGAGTTGTACGTCTGATGTGGAGAAATTATGCTGTCAAGCCAGGCATGAGAGATACAGGCAGAGACTGAGCGGGTTATCTATCAAGCTCCAGTAGTCCCCCTCAGCAAGCACAAGATATGACAAGTCCATGCACAGAGTTTGGGTACACTGGAAAAAAACATACATGTCATAAAAAAGTCTTATTAAAAATACAATTTTACATTTAATCTTTCAATTTTACATTCAATCTTTAATTTTACATTCAATCTTTCAGTTTTACATTTAATCTTTCAAAACGTTTGCAATTTAGGTGAGATATTTCTTGTTTTTTTGTGCATTTTCCATTTGGAAAAGGTTTGGTGTGTCTTCATTGCACTGATAGGAGCAACTGCTCAGCAAAACATGTGTTTTGGGTTTGTTGCTACAAGCATCATCTTTCACATTAAAGCAGCATCTTTAAACATTGGATTAAATTACTTAATATTATTAAAAATGTGTTTTAAAATGAGTTTTCTGTTGGGAAACAGGCATGAAAACTAGCAGAGACTGATGTTAATGACTGTTGGATCATGAATCACAGCTGTGTACACAGGGTATGAGGATGAAGAGACGGAGATGTTGAGATCTCTCTCATCTCAGTGTGTGTGTGTATGTGTGCTGTTTAGGTGTGTGTGTGTGTGTGTGTTTTTATGATTGAGGATGTTGACAGTGGCTGAAGTCCCAGCGGATGGTGATAGAGAGGGTCAGTGGAGATTAAGGCTTCCCATTTCTGGGGCAGACCGAGTCTCGCAGCGCTCACAGCTGTTCACACCTGTGCTCGCTCCTGCCTCGTGTCCCGCTTTAAAGAGGGGGATTGAGGCGGATAGAACAAGCTCTTTGCTCTCTTTTCCTTCCCTTTTACTGCCGGGTTAAATTGGTGTTTTTTAAAGCCAGCATTTGAGGTTTGGAGCTTCTGGGATTATGTCCCAAACACTGACTCCAGCACTTTTATCCTTTATGTTTTTCCATCTTGTCCTCGCAGTTTAGTACTTTTCATTTATCTTCCTCACTGTCACAGTCTTTTTACAATAGAAAAGTAGTGGAGGAACAGCACACCTAAATTCATTTTAACCAGCTCTTCATTGGTGAACGAGTACACTCAGTGGTTTTCAGCAGCCTTGAGCATGTCTTATAAAAAGAACACTAAAGCAGGATCGGGTTATATAAAGTCACATGAGGGGAGAAAATCCATCCTGTGCACGTTAATTCTCTGCCTTTGTTTGTCTCTTCTCACCTTGGCAATGACAACACTCCTCCGCACGGAGAAGAATGGTGAACCTGCACCTCTGTATCAGTTTAATTAATCTGCTGCATGCCTAATTAACAAGTTGCATTATCTGCTGAACCACAGAGCGGTGATGACAAGGGAAGGGTTAGGTTGATGGACATTCAGTGGAAGGTTTAGGGTGACGGACGGGAGGCCCACAGAACTGTCACAGCCGTCAAACCCCTGTCGTTTCTTAGATGTCAGGCTTCAACAGGCCTCTTTTTTTCTGTCTGTGAAAATGGATTGAGCACCAGTGGATGAATGAAAGGGCAGACAGAAGCCCCTCTCACAGTAATTACAGTTATGTAAAGGTTCAGCTGTGTGACAGGAGTTGGAAACTTTCTGAAAAACTAATGTGATGAAGTGAGGAACTGAATGTGGGCTAGAAAACAGGGAGTGTGAAGTGACAAGTTTGGACAAAACTGAATTAATGAATACAACTAGCGAGTTAAATTACATACAGTGAATCAGTCTACGTGGAGTTGGAAAGAAATCATCCATTGAAGTGATGTTTAATCTGCTGTCCTGTCTGTCTTTTTCTTTGCCTCTGCAGAGATTATTAGGTCTGCCACAAAAATACCACCGATGTTAATCTTCTATCCTTATTGAGTTGGTATGAATGGATTTTCCACTCATAAAGTTTGAGAAGTTTGAGCAGACTTCTTTCACCAAGCGGTTGAAATATAATAGACACCACATAAAAGATGTGTTTGTGATGGTGATGGTCACCCCCTGGGCTATGTGTGTGTGTGCGTGTGTTGCCTCTGTAAGGGGGACAGCTTGCTCTTGGCACTTCCTCTGGGATTGGTAAGTTTTTGCTCTGTGTTTTTTGAAGGTGCCAAGCTATCTCACAGCGACACTCCCACAATAACACTTTTAGTTATTGAATTCATCCACACACATTCTTCTTCACACTTTTCCTCTTCAAATTTCAAACACAGACCCTCACTCTCAGAAGTGTCTGTCTGTCTTCGCTTTTGACCCCCC